GGTTTGTAATATTTTATTTGAACTCTGATGGATGTATTCCGAATGCTACTTATGAAATGTTGTAACGGATGATGTGTTGTGTTGAATCACTACGATCTTGGTTTGTATGTCGAGAGTTGGTTGAAATCCTTTGTGATTTCTGGACTACCGGGATTATGGGAGATTAAGTATAGGAATTTGATCGCTTCGGTGATAGTTTTTGTACTTATGTTCTTATGATTTGGTCGGTTCTGTTACACCGTACACTGAGGAGGCGATTGACGAGGACGACGAGGAAGATGTGATCGAAGATGTGTACGACATTGCCACTAGGGACGACACACAACTACAGAGAGCCCCGCTTCAAAGATAGGTGATAAGATACTCGAATGGTACAATTTGTTATCCATTTAGTATTAAGTATGTGTACTAAAACTGTCCAACCGCGTTTCTGTATCCAGGCGACACAATTGTCAAGGCTGTCCAACGAAGCAGCGTTTCGGCTTCATGAGTCTAGAGGGCTGGGGCCAGGCGTTCTCGAGGCTTTTGTAGAGGTAAACATAAACTTTTCTGTTCCAAAAACGTTTCTTTAGTGTATATGCGTTTGGAAAATGCACTAACTTTAATGTCTATTTATGCAGAAGGTGAAGCAGAGCTGCAGGAAGCTTAGCTTAGAAGCTGAGCTGCATGGACACTCCTTGGGTGGAACCGGCAGTCCCAGCGCAGTCGGGTGGCACATCTTCTAGCTCTTTGAGGACACCAGCCGGCTCTTCTCAGCCAGTGACAGGTGCCACTTCCGTAGTGTGTACACCACCACATCATAGCGCTGGGAAGGACCCTGCAAACGAAGATGACGAGGACGACGATGACGACAACGACAACCCCCCGGGCTTCCACAGACAGCACCACCAGTGGGATGATTGGCCGCAGGACGAGATCGGCATGTGTCAGCTAGGTGGTGCCCCGCTTGGTACCCAAGGAGCCTCACAGGTAGTAACAAAGGTAGTTTCTTTAAATACGTAGGCACCATGAACTAACGATCATAAAGATTATAAGTAATCATGCATATCATATACTTGCAGGGTACGAGCCGTACACACTGGCAACGCGACCACACCGACGCTGGCTACACTCCTAATGTGTTGCCTACAAATCCGAAGAGACAGAGGCGTCCGAGGGATCCTTACACTTCAGGGACTTAGTTAGTTATGTCGATCAAATATTATCGTCCAAAACTTGCAACCAATGAAAATGTTATGTGGCAACTTGTCAACTTGCGCACGGACTTTATTTATTTGCTTCATATTCGTTTCAATGCGTCGTGGCAGCACTGCCGGTGAGATTAACTAGCAACTAGTTTGGGAACCGGCAGTCCTAGCGTATCTCGCCGCCGGTGGCCGGCGTCTTGACCCCGATCCTCCCGAGCTTGGTCATCGCCACCATGAAATCGGCGAAGAAGGCACCCTGGTTGGACGCATAGTAGTTGACCGTGCTGTGCGACCTCATGTCGGAGTAGATCACCTGGCACTAGTAGAGAAACGACCTTTGATCCAGCTCGAAATTTGGCTTTAGTCCCGGTATTTTTCGCGCCCGGGACTAGAGAGACCTTTAGTCCCGGTTTGTAGCTCCAACCAGGACTAAAGGTTCCTGCCCAATGGCTATTACGGCAGGCTTTTGCTGCAGAGGACCTTTAGTCCCGGTTGGAGCTACCAACCGGAACTAAAGGTTAACCTTTACTCCCGGTTGGTACCTCAAACCGGGAGTAAAAGTCTACTCCCGGCTGGAGGCTCCGTCCGGGACTATTAAGGGACCTTTAGTCCTGGTTTCTATCTCCAACCGGGACTAAAGGTCCCCTCCTATATAGGCCTTCTTCCTCCCCGAGCCCGAGCCACTTCGAGCTCAGTGTTCTTGCTTCATCGCCGGCCTCTCTTCTTCGTCATCGCCGGTAATCACAAGATTTCTTCGATTCCTCCATCGATTCTCCGGTTCTAAAGGTTACCAACTTTATACTCTCATGTTTCATCAGTAGCATATCTCATTTTGAGGACCTAGTTCGGTTTTACGAGGATACTGGTTTGGACCTTGCCCAAGTGCTCGCTGAAGGACCATCTGCTCCGAAAGTGGATCCTTGAAAGAAATTTGAACATGGAAAGAGTCTATACAACCTTGAGGCCTTAGGTGAACTGAGTACGCAAATGTACCTGCTAAACAAGTGGTACATGGCGGCGTGTAAACGGGGAGAGAACTTTGTTTCTGTCAGAGTTAAAAACCAACATTACTTCCGTAGCGATGACGTTATATATGTCCAGTTTGGAAAATTACACCAACTATGCCACCTGGACTCTCTCGACAAAAGTCTCATTAACTGCTATTGTCTGTAAGTGTGATTATTTTCTACTATTAAAGTGTATATATATAAAGCTACATGTATATATATAAATTATATATCCTCACACTATATTTTTATATATGCAGATATGAGATGACAGAACTCAGAAAGAGACAAGATAATGATGTTGGTTTCGTTGATCCAAATATTGTATTCAAACACCTTGATCCCCCACCTGGATGGAAAGCTGAACTCGAGAAAAATCTCATGAGGTTCATAGTGAACCAACAAAACAAGGACATACTCTTCCCCTACAACTTCAAGTGAGTGTTAAATAATTAATATCGATCATATGAACATTTGTTCAATTATTTGCTTACTAGCTAACCTATCTCCCATATATACATATGTTGACTCTAGTTAATGTCGATCATATTTGTGTATAAAAATATATGCAGCAATCACTGGATATTGATGGTCATCTATATGGCTAATAGTCGGTTGAGCATATTAGACTCGTTAAGAAAAGAGCAAACAGAGTACCAAGACATGATAGATATTATCCAAGGGTAATTTGGTCTCTCTAGCAACTATATATACCCCGATCTCTTAACTACAACAATTATTAAAGGACAAATTAATTTTTTATTTTATTGGGCGCAGTGCTTGGAAAAGTTTCATTGAGGAACACCACATGAAACATTGCAAAGCGCCACTAGATGTAATCGCACATAAAGTAAGTACTAGCTATATATATATATATATATATATATATATACCATGAATGCTTTCTGAGGCAAGAACAGGAGGAACAACTACTGTGGATACTATGTTTGCGAGTTTATCACGGCGTACTCAAAAAGAACTCCTCAAGAGAACCTCAAAGTACGTTATATAAATATATTCATATATATACAATTTCTTTTATTGCTCATATATATAAGTAATCACGTGACCAACATATATATATATATTAATAGTTTTCCTTTAACTTTTATTGAAGACTCTATGGTTGAAGGAAAAAGTCATACGACGTGACCAACTGAAAGCAATTCAAGAGATCATAGCAGGATTTCTTAATGACCAGGTCCTAAACCCCGCCGGTGAGTTGTACAATGACGTGAACGAAACATGAAAGCCAAATCAGATGGAGTGAATTTGTTATCCTAAGGATATGATAGAATATACAATGCAAGCTTTATTTATAATATATATTATATGTTCATAAAATAACGTACAATATATGTATATGCATGTAATATATACGTTAGTTTCATACTTTAGTTTGTACAAGATGTTCGAACATTATAAACGTGTAGAATACGTATATTATTAGCAGCGTAGAATGCGTATTCGAAAACCTATTCGAAAATCAAAATGAATCATCAATTGAAAATAGAAAAAAAAAAAACCTTTAGTACCGGGACTAAAGGGCCGGCCCACGTGGCCAGGCCGGGAGGCCTCTTTAACCTCGGTTGGTATTACCAACCGACCTTTAGTCTCGGGTGCGAAACCGGGACTAAAGGAGGGGCCCTTTAGTCCCAGATTCGTGCTCCTGGTTCCAAAACCGGGACTGAAGGGGGTTGAGAACCGGGAGTACAGCTCGTTTCTCTACTAGTGTGGTCGGAGCCCAGGAGGCCCTTGCCGACCTGCAGGTTTCGGTAGAATGCGTTATTGAAGCCCACCGCGAGGGGTCGAGGAAGACGAAGGCGTTAGGATCAGAGCTGCAGGTGCCGTTCAGCTACGACGCGAAACTAGGGTCCATGGTCGTGTCGTTGCGGATCCTCACCGACAGTAGCTGAGGCTGGTCTTCTGTCTGCGTCCAAGTCCTGCCGCGTCGTGGGCCTTGACGCGTCAGTGCCGCGCCTAGGTCTATGGCGCGGCAGACACTGCCACGTCACCGGTCAGCACCCCGATCGTCGCCATGTCATCCTCCCGCCGCGCCACCATGCATGGCGCGGCACAGGCGTTTCGCCGCGCCATGACAATAGACGCGGTCAAAAGTGTTAGTTTTGGAAAAAAAAATTAAACAGTGTTAGATTTAAAATTAGTTTAAAAAAATATTTAAAAAAATCTTTAGTTTAGTAGCGTGTCACCCTGTGTACAGCATAAGAAAAACACAACACTTGTGATTGTGAGTATTGGTTCTTGTCACCCTGTGTACAGCATAAGAAAAACACAACACTTGTGATTGTGAGTATTGGTTCCTTTAGGCCCTGTTTGGTTGGGCTTTTGGTTTTGGCTTTTGGCCTCAAAAGCCAAAAGACCAACCAAAGGGGCTGCTTTTGGATGGTGCTTTTTCAGAAGTAGCTGCTTTTTTCGTAGTTCATTTTTGAAAGCTAGATTGACCCTGCTTTTGGCTTTTAGCTTTCTGCTTTTCGAAATTGGTGGAATAAAAAGCTCTTTCATAGTTGTTTCAAGAGAGATAAAGATAAAGGGTATATTTTATATTTGTTTAACCAAACAGCTTTCAGCTTTTCTACAGCTCACAGCCTACAGCAGCTTTTCCACAGCTCACAGCCCACAGCAGCTTTTTCCCACAGCCACAGCTCAATCAAACAGGGCCTTAGTCAGTAGCTAGGGACAAGGTGTCCTAGCTATAACGGTACAGGTGTACAGCCGGCCACCACAATTCAAAACAGGACGTTCTACCTCGACCAAGACAAGCAAAGATGGAAGAATTTTACACTACCATCGATCCAGTTCTTAGGGGGCTGGAAGTGGTAGCCGGTTCTCAGCAGCGGGTGGACGATGGACGGCGGCACTGCCGCCGCCTCCACCTCGAGTTTCTCTTCCTCGTAGACGACATGAGAGGCCCCAGCCAGGTGCACCACCAGCAGCAGCAGCAGCAGTACGGCCAGCCATGCCCAAGCAAGACTTCCTCCTAGCGCTCTCATTGCTGACCCACTTCATGCACACAAGCACAGAGCGCACGCAGGCAGCAAGAAGCTACAAGTGAAGGGTGGCGGGGGAGAAGGGAGGGCGGTATTTATACTGAATTCGTCGGTCGGGGCGTGGAGCAGATCGGCAGATGTCGTTTTCTCGCGGACAATATCGGATCTATTTAATAAATTATATACTCCCTCTATTAAAAAAAATACAATTCTTGCTTTTCAAGAAAAACAGTTTGAACTTTGATTAAATTTACACAAAAAGTTCTAATATTCACGATACAAAATAAGTATCATTATACAATATATTTTCATAAATTTATTTGAAGACATACATGCTATGTCTATAGCTCTCCTGATTTATATGATAGGTTCCGGATAGCTACAAATCCAAATCCAAATGCAAATAGAACGCTGCGATATCAAATAAGCTGAATAAGAATCCTAATCTTTATCTAATATCTATATCTATCTATACCTAATATTAAGCCTCCAATCTTGACTAACCTGAATAGGAACCCTACTCTACTATATCTTCCAATATATCTTATTATAATCTATTTTTCCTTTCTACCGAGTTCTCTTTTTTTCAATTCCGTTTTCACACGGCCCAAAAACACCCTCCTGTGCGCATCCTGCATCCTCAAATTCCCGTCGGTTCCAAGAGCCAAGGAAAAACACATCTGACTCGGAGTTGCGACCGAATAAGGAGAGGGAGAAGAGTCCGATCCAGAAGAAGAACGAGTTTCTTCTTCATCCGTTTTTATTTTCTTTTCCAATCCATCACTTTATCCATTTGGTTCTTTTTTTTGCTATTGTTACGGTTTCGTCTCCTTTTTTCATTTTTTACGATATCGTCTCTTTTTGTTTTGTTCTTTTTCTCTCTCTTTCTCCCTATAAGTAGAGAAGGGAATTAAATTCTAATCACTACTACGCAAAAAATTTTACAAGGCGTTTCGAAAATGGGCTCTGAGGCGGTTGGGTCGGTTGCCCACCTCGGTTATTCGTGGCAGGGCAGCCGGCCCAGCAACCACCTCGGTTAATGCTTAACCGAGGCGGACAACGTAAAAGAACCGCCTTGGTTAATGCCTATTAACCGAGGCGGTTGCCCTAACACAACCGCCTTGATTAATGAAAGTCATTAACCGAGGCGGTTGCCTTATGCCGCCTGCCTTCGTAAATCCATTTTCGGAGGCGGGCAAGTATAAGGCCCGCCTCTGTTAATCTTGGGCGAGCCCACCTGGTCCATCTGGCCCGGCAACATGTTTGAAGTATATATACTGAACTTAGGGTTTGGAGGCCACACTCATCTCTCCCTCTAAAACATCCCGTGCCTCCCTTCCCTCCTCTCCCGTGATCGAGAGACGGAGCCCGTGCCTCCCTCCACCAGTCTCCCTCTCGCTCTCCCTCTTCCCTCTCCCTCACCCGAGCCTGAACACATAGCGGTGGCGCCTCTCCCTCCCTCTCCCAAGCGCGGATCTGTAGGCGGTGGCACCTCTCCCACCCTCTCCCGAGCGTAGATCGGCGAACTCTCTCCCATAGTCTCCTGAGCGCGTGGATCTAGAGGTGGCGACACCCCCGAGCTCCTCTCCCGGCGCCGAGCTCCTCCTCTGGCAGCGGCGCTCCACCGGTGGAGGGCGTGGATCCGGCGACCCGCGATGGCGGTGGGCGTAGATCCGATGAGGAGAAGTGACGGCGGTGCGGTAGACGTCCTCCAAGTGGCGGCGAGCATCAACGACCGACACATCTAGGCTGCGGCGAGCATCTCCGACCGACGATGAGCATCTCCGGCTAGCGAGGAGCGGTGGTACACGGATCCAGCGGCGAATCCGGTGGCGGATTGAGCACCCGTGGCTGCAGCGGCGCACGGGGCGGGGCCTGCTCCCCTGGTGGCGGCGGCCCAGATCCAGCGGCGGATCCGGTGGCAGATTGAGCACCCCCGGCCGCGGGGCCGCGTGGAGCAGGCGAGCTCGCCGGTGGGCTCCGAAACGGGCTCGCCGATGGGCTCTGGCTTTTTTGTTTTTTAATCCATTAACCAAGGTGGGCATTTGCAAGGTGCCCCCCTTCGTTAATCGATTAAGCGAGGCGGGCAAGGCAACCGCCTTCGTTGTTCACAGATTAGCCGTGACCTTTCGACTGAGGCGATTGCCTTTGCCCGCCTCCGAAAGTCAAAATCGCCCGCCTTCGTTAAGTTTATTGTAGTGGTGAATGTAAAATAGAGAATTAAATTCATAACTTTAGTTTTCAACAAACTAGAAGAATATCTCGTGCGTTGCTGCGGGACTTTGAAATAAAACGTTTGTAGAATATTAAATTAAATTATAGGAGAATGTGAGAGGAAAACAAATAGTACAATGTGGATTCCTTGTATGTTGATAGACTAAAAATAGTAATTGCATTTAGTGGAAAAAGCTGTAGCAATTATTAAAGGGATGATGTGGCACTTAGTGGAGTATGCCATGTGGTGTGGAGATTGAAACATAGTAAGGTTTGTTTTTATAAGAGATATAGATAGATATAAATAAATTTCACCACCAAACTACTGTTTTGTTAGTTTTTGTGCACAAGTTATCCACTTTAATTGTTATAGTAGGTGCTCAACCTCATGCAATATAATAACCAAATAATGGAATCATTATCATTTTTTTCCAAAAGTTTAGCAATAAATCAATATTTTTTTTGCGTATATGCTATCTCCACCAAAAATTGCATTGTGCAGTCTTATGCAAGATAAGTAGAAGAGACACACGTGAATCATTAAGTTTTGTTTGTCCGATCTCTACTTTTGAGTATGGGAAGAAAATGCTTTGGATGAATTTCCAAATATGAACTATATTTTCTAAAAAAAAGTGGTATATACTAATATTAAGGTATGGAATTTTTAATCATTTGCTCTCTCCCATACTTTTACGAGTTAGAGCGGTGTGTCAAGACACGATGGGAAGTTCAATACCAATCTAAATTGAAACGTATGACCCAAACAATGGATAAATCTTCAAGCGTCCTTTGCCTATATGAATACGAGTAGAGCGCAGGACATGTTATAGAGTTTGGTTCCAAGATGAATAAAGCAAGACGCAATAGTTGAATAAATCTTCTGAGCTTCATGTCGTTCAGATGACTACAAACTATATGCCCCGTAGCAACATACGTGCATTTTTGCTAGTACTATTTACAATAAACTTGATCAAACTTGATTAGTTTCATCGGCACGGATCCCATAGCTGCATTCTTTTATAGATGGATGTAGTGTATATTTTATATAAGATCTGTAATATTTGGACAAATTTTAATCTATAATATTGATTTGATTAATTTATTTGTCTCTTTTACATTTAAATGTAATTCTTGGTATTATTTTCGACGGCGCCTACCTTTAAATAGTATTTATCACAACTAAATCATTTATTTTTTATATTAATTGTTGTATATTATCGTCGATCACAGTATTGGGATACTCTATAAAATTCAAATTTTATATATCGTGTGAAATCTTTACATAGGATGAGGATACTACAAAATTTGACATATACAGTAGGATCGGTATTGTCTCAATTTGATAGGATCATAAAATTTGATAGGATCATAAAATTCTAGAATACAAAGTGGGATGCTAACAATCTTGATCTTGGTCGAGGTTGGTTGGACCTACGTACTATTTGTCCAGCTATTTATAGTACCCCTTCTTTCCAAACTATAAAAAGTTTTGACTTTTCTCGATACATTGTTTTTAATATCACTTCTCCTATATTTTAGATGTTTGAATTTTAAGATGATTTCAGGCAACACTCTTATAAGTAAATTGTGACTTTTGTGATTTGGTATTTGTCTATGTGTCGGAACATATTAAATTTTTTCCTTGTCTACCTATAGAAATTATTGTAAATTATTAATTGTCTTTGTGCCAACACAAATCGGATTTTGTCGGGTTGTGGTTTTGTCTAATAGGTTTTTCTATTCTTGGTACAAAAAATTGCAGATTGCGCCTACAGAAATTGCAACATAAGTAATCTGCAATTTCAGTATAAAATATATGAAATAACCGTTGCCTGAAAGGAAACTAAAATTCAAGGCTTGAATTTTAGCAAGTCCCTTTTAATATACATCTAGACAGTGTATAAAGTGCATAGCAAACTATAAATCTAGAAAAAGTCAAAACCTCTCATAATTTGAAATGAGGGAGTATATATTATAGGAAACAAAGTTATTAAAAGCCACCTCTTTTACTAAGTGTCGGGGTTATGATACCCCGGGTATGTCAAGACACCGATTAGCCGCTCCGACGGCCCACGGTATGCCAGCTAGTATAATCCCAAACAACCGAAGCTCAGCTAAGCTACGCGAACCTAGGCCAAACACTAAGACTGGGGTTGCCACGACCTCTTGCCTCAGCCTTCACCGTGCGCTGCGCAACTCCTCGACCACGGCTCCAAAGCTCTCCACCACCGACCGGTCGATCTGCATCAGATGGGAAAAATAAAGGAATTAACTACAAGGGAAAAAGGTTATCCAACGATTGTACTACTAGCAGATACTCGCATGCATGCATACCAGGCTTCTCAGAGATATCTTGCCGTTAGAAATGTCTGTATCCACAAAACCTGCAAACGTCGGCTGGTACAGGTTCGGGTCCAGAGATGACCTATCATGCGATCCGATGGATAAAAGAAATGGAAAGCCAAGTCAGTGCTGCAGTCAAGTACAACTAGCAGAGCCAAGCGGCACCACCAGCATGTAGGCTCTGCTATATATTTGCAGGTGATCAAGGCACGAAAAACTCATGGCTGACCACATGCCAACGTGTCATGCATCGCCCTGCCGGGCAGTGCGCGGGGCACTCATCACTTACTTGCAGGGGTCGGTGCACATGAGCACCACGGGCTTGTCGCCGCCGCCGCAGCGCGCGGGCCGGAACACCCTGAAGAACACCGCGGTCCTCTCCTCCCTGTTGGCGGAGGCCAGCACCCACAGCCCGAACGGGCCCACGCCGCCCTCCACGGCCGCACAGCCGCTGCGCGTGGCCGGCGAGCGCCGGGTCGTCCAGCGCCTCCGCGCCCGCCAGGCTCGACACCTCGAAGCTCACCTCCACGTCAGCCTGCACACAGTATGTATAATGACGCAAAGTGCACGCACGATCTGGTCAGCTCGCACCTGGAGAAGAAAAGGGCTCGTTCGAGCTGCTAACGTACGGTCGAGTTTGTGCGCGTGACGGTGAAAGGTGCGGTGAAAAATAGGTGGGCGACGTAGATCGCACGAACGGACGGGAAGAGTGGGCGCGCGCGGCTGCACGGCACGCTGGGCACGATCAGCCTGTGCGTGCAGCTGAGCACTCGCGGCAGATAAGATCGCTAGCGCCAGCCGCCAGGATTGCTGCTGTTCCTCTTTGCCTCTCTGGATTGGGCACGATGATGGGGTTGTGCGAGGGCTTCACCCACTCCCGGAACGGCGGGTCCGACTTGTTCCGAGGGTACGCGATGTTCTGGACCTGGTAGTTGACGTCGGGACGGTTCACGCCTGTGTACATGATCGCCGGCGTGCCGTCGGGCAGCGTGGTCGCCGACCCTGACCAGCAGCCATACTTGTCGGATGCGATGCTGGGCTCGATCGCCGGCTTCAGGGCGACCCAGTTGATGAGGTCACGTGAGACCGAGCGGCCCCATACGATGTTGCCCCACACGGCGCCTTTCGGGTTGTGTTGGTAGAAGAGATGGTACCACCCCTTGTAGTACAATGGAGCTGTCGTAGATATACATATATCAAATCAGATTTTTTTTCCTAGAAATTATTGAAAGATCACTAATTAAGCAAAGCGTGTAAGTTTTATTTCCAGTTAATATCAGAACACCAACAATATGGTATTGGTTCTGATAAAACATTATGGAATAAACTTTCTCTAAAAATATCAGTATGGTACTGTTATATATGGAGCTATCAGAGATTATGCATGCATGGAAATGGAACTAACCACCATTTCTTTGAGGAAACTGAGCTTTGTTCATTTCTAGCTAGTGGTAGCGGCCATGGACGACCAAGGTGCGAGACAGTCAGCCCGTGCATGGTCCACCACACAAGTATGCTATTGCTATGCAAGTATGCATGCCTACATCGATCTGGAGTCCGCGACTGTCTCCCATCTCGTCCTAAAAGGCGTCACTACTGTTTTACGCACTACGTGAAAAATAGTTTGTAGACTTTTTTTAGGGGCGGCTGACGTTGGAGCAGCCCCTACAGTGGCGTGCTCGGGCTCCAGCACAGCAGCCGCCCTACAAATGGCACAGTAGGGGCGGCTGGTAATACGAGCCACTCCTACAAATACGTCGATTTATAGGGTCGGCTGGTATGTAGAGGCAGCTACACAGCAGGGGCGGCTGAATCATCCCAACGAATACACCGTGCGATCGATCCTCTTCTATACCAATCTACCTGCTCACAATATAAAAGCAAATCGGCGCCGACAGGTGGGGCCCACCGGCTCTCGCTCGGCCGCCTGCCTCCTCGTCCCGAACCCTAACCCGCACGCCTTTGCCGCCGCCGCCTCCCCGTGCACCGCGCCCTCCTCCTCCCCGGCCAACAACCACTGCGGCGCCACGCCCTCCCCCTCCTTCTCCGGGTCCTCGCAGCGCCTCTCCACCGTGCGGCTCGAGCGCGAACCTAGGCCCGTGCCCTCCTCCTCCACCCTTCGGCAGCAACAGCCGCGACAGGACCCGGCGCTCATCACTACTGGAGCACGACCGATGCAACGACGGGGACGGTGGAGAAGAACGTTTGCGTCCAAGTGGAGATCGACCCTCCCTTCCACAACGGCCACGGCCGTCCCTCCACGACTAGGTCAGATGGATCCGTGCTCTCTCTGCCTTTTCCCTTGCCTCCCTTCACGATGAAGACCTACTCTGATTCGATGGTCCTGACCAGGCAAGGTGCAGGTCGGATGCAGCATAAAGAAGGTCAAAGGCGCATGGCTGCACTATCAAGTCTACTCGATTTACTTCTCTTTTTATTTATAATTTTGCCATCTTCTGTGGATTCGTGGCCCCGATCCATCGGGTGTTATCGATCTGGTGCATTCGGCTGGCCATAGCTCGATTCATGTTCGACGAAATGCCCGCACAAACAGTTGGTTGGCGATGGTGTATTATGCCTTTGACTTTGTGGATTTTGTCTAACTAATTGAACCTTCAAATCAGTCTTATTTTGGCCCAAACTTCAGAAACATGACTAATTTATATGCGGGGATTTGCCAAATGCCAAGATAATTGAACATTCAAATTAGTCCAATCAGTTTGACTCTATGGCTGTTTATTAATCCTGACTTGTACTTTTTGAATATGTATTGGCTTTGCACTGATTCTTAGATCATTATTATGGTGCTACTGTAGATTTTGTGGTAGCACCTCCATTCAGTTACATCGATCAGATGAAGAATTCATTAACTGATTACATTGAGGTGCCTGCTCAAAATGTGTGGATGGGAAAAGGATGAGCCTACACTGGAGAAATCAGGTTCGTTATTGGTTAACTGTAGTTGAATTTTACTTTCCTTGAAAAACTCTGCTATATGCCTTCACATGCCTTAAGACAATGAAATCGCCTTTGAAATCCATGACCATGATTATAGTTCCATGCTATATATCTTGTGACTAAATTGTACAACACTTCAATTTATCTAGCCAAGAAAAAAGGAAATCCATGCTATATGTCTTGTGACTAAATTGTACAACACTTCTTTAACAAAAGCTTTTTTTCCATTGTTGGACTAACACCTCCATTCTTTAAAAAATGAGGCTATTTCTCTGTTTGCAGAGGTGCCATTTTTGTGGTGGTGTTGTAGAACACAAGTATCCATAAGTTGTCATGAGCCTAGGTTGTTAATGATCGAATTATATAGCTTTCACTAACTCTGCTCTTATTACTACAAGAACTAACTCTAGAACGTCATTGGTGGTTAGTAGGTTCCTGAAGGGCCATGCTTCATAACTGACCTTTCCAGTATTCTGTTTTTCAGGTTGCTTGAAGCCTTCAAGACTAGAGCAAAATGGTTTCGCTAAATGCTCTGCTGATGATACAGTTCATTATGTATTCTTCTCTCTGCAGGTATTATGAGAAATTACTCCTTCCACTTCTTAGTTGCACAATTGCATACCTGTTTCTTAGCTACAGTGATATATCAGGGGAGCCGGAGCCGCCCGAATCTATACCAAATGGATTTTTATTTTTTTTTCATGGATGCTAAGTTGAATTTAGAGTAGTTTTCAGTCTTGCATATGTTCAGCTGTGCAAATAACCAGCTTATAGCCTTATTCCATGTGTCGGTGCGAAAAGTGACCAACAAGTAAATATTTGTCGTTTTGCCGTACGTTGTGATCGGATGTGGCCTAGCACTCAATGACACAGGGTTTGTACTGGTTCAGGCAACGTGGCCTATGTCCAGTTTGAGTCGGTCGGTGACTTTATTCCTGAGCTCAGGTGCTCGAAGTTTGCTGTGGGGTTACAAACGAGTGGGAATAAGATGGGGGATGTTAGAGGTCCGGTCGGACTCTGGACCAAAGGGCCAAGAGTGACTGGAGCTCCTACGTGCACTGAGTATTGAAACGTATGCTCTATGTAGCTTTAGAGTTCTAGAGCCGTGGAGCTGTTCAAGTGCTCAGAATGTCTAAAGCTAGCAGAGAGCGAGTCAGAATGATCGTCTGTTTTTCGTCCCTTCTTGGGAGAGGGTGCATCCCCTTTTATAGATGAAGGGGACTGCCTTACAAGTTCAAGAGAGAGAGAGAGAGTGTGTGCTACCTAGTCTTACTGTCCATGCCGTCGGGTACAAGACGGTTTGTTGGCGCCCACAATACTGTTGACGCCTAGATACATGTGGCAGGCTCCATCGTGTTCTTTCGGTATGGCAAATGTCGGCGCCTACCATACTGTAGGATAAATGTCGGTGCCCACAACACTGTTCATGTTCTGACATGTCTCAAAGGTTGCAAAGTACCCTTCTGGCATGGCCTGGCGGTACTGTTCTGCAGGTGTGCAGGGTACGGTTCTCGGTATTACGGTTGACTTGAGCGCCTTGCCTTATCTGCTCCACCTGATTCCTGGGTCCTCACCGAGCGGGCGTCCCCGGTCGGTCGTTCCCAGTCGGCTCTGACCGCGCCGGTCGGATAAGAGCTGTAAGCAGAGGTTCGGTGTATTTCCGGTCGGAGAAGCGGGTCAGGCTCGGAGGCGAGCGTCGTCCCCTCCATGATAGACCTTCCGGACGAAGAAGTGGGTTGGAGTCGAAAGCGAGTGTCATCCCCTCTTTGGCCAGACCTTTCAGTCGGAGACTGGATCGCTCTTCCGGCCTGTCGTTAGGTATCTAGGCCGGCCCAGGAGTTGCGCGTCGTCTGTAATGCCGTCTGCTGGGCCGAGCTTTTGCTGGGAAGCGGGCCCATTAGGGACCACAGGTTTGTGAACCCGACAGGAGCCCCCGAGCCCCCAGGCGATTCGAGTAGAATCGTCTGGGGGATTTTTTGTTTTGTCAGCAGGTGCATGCGAGCGCACCCGGTGGGTGTAGCCCCCGAGCCCCTGGGCGAATTGGGTAGAATCGTCTAGGGGGGTTTTTGACTTGCCAGCGGGTGCGCGCGAGCGCACCCGGTGGGTGTAGCCCCCGAGCCTGCATCCGACTGGTGAGTCAGTTGGAGGCTGAGTATCTTGGCACTCTTTCCTAGGGCCGCAGACTCCTGTGTTTCTGTCATTTGGGGTGTTCACCCGTGTTTGTCCAGCCCGTGACCTGCGCGGTCTGTTGATTTCCCGAGTCGGCGTTGGGCGACTTGAGCCCCTGAGCCCCGTTGGGTTTGGTAGGGGTTGGTCTAGTTCCGTGCGTTACCCCATCTGCGGTTTCCGCAATCGGAGGTGCTGAGCAAATGTCGCTTGCCTCGATGGCTCGAGTGACGTGCTCGGTGAGCTCACTAACGAGCATGTTCGAGCGAAATTCGGGTCCGTCGTTCGTAACAGGGTTGGCATAGCCCTCATGTGGCATTCCACTGCTCCTTAACCCACCTCCCGATAGATGCCCGGGTCATTCCAGAGACTGACTCAGGTGGCCCGCTGCCTCCCCTTGATGAAGATTCTGTGGGCAAGGCTTGAGGTTAGGATCGAACGAGAAGGTCGAGATGACCCTGTCTGCTTCTGAGCATACCGGGAGAGGGCCACTGTGGCTCATCTGCGTTTTCTCCCTTGGCTCTGTTTGATGTGAGGTGGCCTCGAGCCCTTCGTGGGCCGGCTTTTGAACCGCGGTCGGTTGTCACTCATATTGAATGAGGCAACTACCGCTTCGTGACGCAACATGAAGCGTTGTGATGCATTAATTGCATATGCGATGCTTTGGATGTATGGGATGAATGAATGAATGTGTGAATGCGTGTATGAGAATGGATGAATGAATGATCATGCATCAGAAAATAAAGCAAGAGGGTTTGGTAAAGTTACCTTGATGACTCGAGTGATGGGTTTGAGGAGTTCTTATCGGATATGTCCGAATGAGATCCATGTTCATAGTTCATGACGGAGACAGAATGGCCCACATGGGGCGTCCCACTGGTCCTTACCTGTCTCTCGGTAGTCACCTAACCGGTCCGATCGACTCAGGAAGCCGTTGGTCTCTCCTCGACGGAGATCCTATTGGTGGGCCCTTTCAAGCCCTGCCTGGGAAGGCGGAGGGCCGTTTGGCGTGCGGGTGCGCCTTGTTTCCTATGCTCGTGTTGTGGTAGTGG